GGTTGCTGTATTTTTCGCTTCATTGAATCTCTGTCACTCAGTTGTCTTTAGTGTTTTATAAAAAAGGAATAGTAAAAACTTGGTTTATCTCAATAGATGTTTATCTTAATCACCAGGCTGGTTAAAAAGGAGAAATACATTCCTACTTGTCATGTGTGTATATATGTAATATATGCTGCCACAGGGAGTTTGTTTGGATAAACAGTGTTGCCTGTGTGGAAATTCAAATCCCCATCAGGAGCCACTGCTTGTAAATATAAGTGTCATTTTTTAACATAAAAAATGCCTTGGTTTCTGTTTCATCTTTGCCAATTCTCCCACTGGCCTCTCTCTCCATAATGAATTGGTCTGCGCACTGTGAGACGCTGGAATCTTCTCTCATCTGCTGGGATGTGAATATTTGGCACAAAAAGTGGGATGGTTAGGTGGGGTAGAGGAGGGGAAGGATTTAGAAGAACTTTGGGTTTCCTCTGTTGCAAACCTTTTCCGTAAATAAATAAATAAAACTAATTCCTCCAAGTGGGGCTGCAGCCAAGAAAACTGTTCTGAGAGGTTCAGATTTACGGCAGAAGACACTGCTGAGAGAAAGAGCGAGAAACAGAGACAGTGGAGTTCCACCTCCCATGATATATAGAGCCAAGGGAGGTATAAATACCCGTCACTTCCCGGACCCTCTTTTAAAAAAAAAGACAAACACCCAGGATCCTGTCTCTGGCTGCCTTGCAGCAAGGCGCCCTCATAAAAGCTAAGATAAACAGTTTATCAGCAGATGAATGCACAAGCTCTGTTCTAAAGACAAAAGTCTATACCTTAGGAAAAATGCAGAGGCAAGAGGAGAGTGGGCTGAGAATCAAGCACAGTATTTCAGGAGGAAGAATGACATGAAATGAGAAAAATAGAGCAATTCTATAAGGAGTCTTTTGAGGCAATGGGTACATCTCCATGTATAGATGTACTTAAAGACTAAGAAATAACTTGTATTATTTCTGGGGTCTTCTTTTTTTGTGGTTTTATTCTTCATTGTTTTAATGCATTAGTCATTTTAGGATTTACTCCACTATAAAACATTCATCCCATAGCTGAGTTTCAAAATATATTATTTATACATCGTTTATCACTGCAGATAAAGACTCTTGGCCAAATGTATCCTTCCCTGTCTCCATTCTGTTGGGATTTCAAGGTAGAACTTTTCTCTGTCAAAACATGTTTTCCCTTCCAAAGTATGTGATTCATAACTGTTTTCCTTCAGAGCAGCTGATCACCTGCTGACACTGGGTCATCCTTAACACAGTCTTCATTCTGTGGCCCCTTCTGTGCATCAGGAACGGGGCAGGGAAAGGGATGAGCTACCTTGAGACACAGCACCACATTTCAAAGGTCCAGCAAGATCTCCCTGAGTCTTTCCAGACTAAAGAATATAGCTTGAAAGTTGTAGAAAACTGATTTCCTACCGGTGCTGTGTGAATTCCTGGTCAAGGTCATCCATGACCGGTGATAGCTCATAATGTAGATTGTCATCTGGTACATTTGAGTGATGTAAAATGGCTGACAGCTGTGCATCTCCTTTAGAATTGTTTTAGGGATTCACAGTTTTAAAAAAAAGGTAGAAAATTATTCTGTAAGGAGTTCTTTACCCAATTTATAAGGCTATGACCAAGGAAGAGGGAACGGGTCTAGCAGAGGGAACTGGTCTAGCAGCTTGCTAGGACCTAAGACTAAAATTAAGTGATTTTTAATTCAGTTGTTTCTCTATAATTTTTGTAAAACATTTGACTCTTCCCTCTGCATTGATACATTGATACTGGTAGCATCTAATCAAACTCTCCAGCATCTCCATGGAAGAGGCGAGGATTAGCATTCGTGCTCTACAAATAAGGAAAGGCAGAGCTATGAAATGTGTTGCCTAAAGCCATATGAGAAATTTGCATGAGAGTTGGGCAGAGGACTCATTTGGTTATGGTTTTGGTTTTCTTTCCTTAACAAACTATCATTGTTTCGTGCCAATGGATTTTTAAAAACAAGAAGCAAAAGGCAATGAGATCATGATTTAAATAATCCGTAAGTTTAAGGGAAGCAGGAATAGTTTCAAGGAAGCCTCCACTCCTAAGGAAGGCACATCTTTTCCAAGCACACCTGGCATGGTTCTTCCTCCCAGTTCTATAGTGGTTTATTACTTTCTGGGAGATTCCCTCCGTGTTTCAGAGGTTCATGCATCGTGCCTGAGACCATTGCTCCTGGAGCAGACTGATTCCACACCATGGGCTGAATTCAGAGGGATGCCCCTGAGCACTGGTTTGGGTGAAGTAGGTCAGGCCATTTTCTCTTAGTAGATTTAATGGGAAACAAATCTATCCTGAATTCTTGCTGTGCATCCTCGCTGCTGTGGCCTGAAGTCAGCTGCTTACATAATGTGTTTGCAGCGCTGTGCCTGTGGAGCTGTCAGCAGGGCCCTGCAGGCTGCATACCTCTTCTCTCCTCATCAGCGATGTGACCCTGCACAAGTGGCATCTTACTCTTGCCCACATTGGCTTCCTGTGTGCCTTGAAGGTTGTATTTGCTTTGTCTACTGAAAAAACACATTTTTACTACTGACAGCACTCCAGAACCAATAAAGCTGAGGCGAAGGGAGTTGTTTTCTACTCTGCTTCATGCACCACTGCCAGTAGAACGACCAGCTAAGGCCTCTGTGAGCTACTGGCCTCTCTCCCTATCCCAGGAAGGGCTGGCATCATACACAGTGCCTGGATCACACCCTTTTACCTCCAGGTTTCATTTACTGCTGTTTTCAGCAAACCCTGACATAAACCAGTTTCTTTTCCATCTGATCCGGAGGCCTCTGGCAGGGTCACTGGCAGCTCTTCCCCAGTCCTGCTATCAAGCCACTCCACCAAGAAATTCTTGGGCCACAAGTGACTTCTGTCACTTCTGCATCCCTCGAGCTTCCCCGGCCTCGCCAGGAGCCCAGTGCACCCGAGGTCAGGTGGACACACATGTTTGAGGAACTATTGACCTTCAGCCTGCTCTGCTCACAACAGACCTGTACCTTAATGAGGCTTGAAGAGCCTCATTCCAGAAACTTCCTCCTACAGGTAACTCAGTTCAGGAGGGAAAGGTCTTCCAGTCCTTGCTTGTAGTCGCAGTTTTGAACGTAGAATCTGTAACACACATTTGGCTTGAAATAGTGGAACTCAGTCCTTCTAGGCTTTGCTTTTCAGACTTAGGGACTGGTAGTTGAAGAACTGGTTTCAAATACCAGCTGAGAAAAACTGACTTTATCATTAAAGGAAAAATGCAAGCCATTAGGTGTAACTTCCAAATTTTGGCTTTCTGTTCTGTTTCTGAGGTGTGGCTTCTCACTTGTATCCAGGGACAACTTTTATACCAAACTTTCAATGAAAGTTTATGAGGTTCTTGATGAACGTAGAGACCTCAAATTCCAGATCTGAAAAACTCTAATAACGCTCCAGCAGATCTTTGACTGACATTGTAGCAGCAAGTGTCACTGTGAGGCTTTTACAGTGTCGAGTTAGGGTCAGTTTTCCATCTTTTTCATGTAATTTTTTTATGTATTATTTATAAAATACCCTATATGCTCAGGAATAAAGCAAAATAAGAGTTGTTTTAAATTGAAAATTAGGAGTGAAAACAGTTGAAAAAATATAATTTTTATAAAAAACACACAACCTTGGTAATACAATCTATTTATTACTTTCATAATGAATCTAAATATGAAGGTTAAGATTTAAACAAATGCATAAATAATTTAGGTGAAATGGCTAAGCTTCAGTCCCATTAAAGTTAGGCTCCTAAGTGCCTAAATAGCCTGCAGGAATGGGATTCAAGCACTTGAGGAAATTTTACTCAAACGGTAATAGACCCTTACAGCAAACTGCCCGCAGTGCCCAGTAAGTGCTCTCTGCGAGACAGTAGCTGTGCCACGGAACAGCATTTGCTATCAATTTTTAAACTGTTTTATGTATTTGCCATTGAGTTACTTTCCATCTTTTCCTGTATGGACTGGGGGCATAACTGGAAATTGCGTTTCTGATGGAGAAGTCTTGGAGAACTCCCTAGAAAATCGCTGAGCAAGTGCTCCGAGGAGGGCTCCGAGCGGGGCCGCGCAGGCTGCCGGAGCATCCGCCGTGGGACCGCGGCTCCGTACGCGGGGGTTCCCGCCGCTGCCAGCCGCCGCGTCCCCCTCCGCAGCAGCGCGGGGGGCCAGAGCCGCCCGCCGCCCCGCGCTCACCGGGGGTTCCCCTGAGCTCACCCGGGGGTCCCTTGCGCTGGGCCGCGGGGGTCCTGCGCTGACCCGGGGGTCCCTACGCTGCCGCGGGGGTTCCCTGCCGCTCACAGGCCGGGAGTCCCTGCGCTCACCCGGGGGTCGCCTACGCTCACCCGGGGTCCCTCGCTCCGCGCTGCCCCGCGGGCCACCCGCCGGCCCGGCGCGGCGCCGCAGCAGAGGGCCCGCTCGGCCCGGGCAGCCGCGGGCACCGCGTCCCGCAGCGTTGCGCGGGCAGGGCAGCCGCACCCCGCGCCCATGTGCGGGGACGGCCCGGGCGGTGCCCCCGCGGCGCGCTGCGCGGGAGGGCGCGGGGAGTCCGCGGGAAGCCCCGGCGCGGATGCCCCCTCCGCGGGCCGGGCCGGGCCGCGGCCGGGCGGGGGAGGGGCCGCGCCCCCCGCCTCCGCGCCCCGCGGGGGTGAGAGCGGCGGGGCCGCGCCGGAGCCGCGCGGCGGAGCGGGCGCCGTGGCCGGGCGGTGCCCCGGGAGAGCAGCATCTCCCTCCCCCGGGGCGCGGCGGCCGCTCAGGCGTGAGCGGCGGCGTGCGGGGGCGGGGGGAAGGCGGCGGCTCCCGCCTTCAGCCTTCCCCAGCAGAGGGTGCCTGCCGGTGGGAAGGGGGAAGCCGCGCTCTCCTGGACTTTTGTGGGAGTGGGGGTTGTGTTGTGTGTGTGGTGGTGTGGTGTGGTTTTTTTTTTTTTTTAAGGGGGGTGGGGTGGGTTAGGAGAGAGTCTGTGGTTTCCATGGAGATGAAGCTGAAAGTGCAGGAAATTTAAAGGCTTTGGGTCCTTGCAAAGCAGACAAACTGGTGCCAACGTGCGTGGCTGCTGTTGCTGCTGAGGAGGCTGCTTTGCAAACGGCGGAGAGAAGCGGGGAGGAAGAATCGGCAGCAACTTCTTCCACACGCACGGGCAGACAACGAGGAGCGGCAGCAGCAAGCAGAATTCGCAACAAAAAGAGGCATCTCCCGTTCCCGGGAAGGGCGAGAAGAAGCAGCAACAGCAGCAGAATTTTGGAGCGGCTCCACCAGGAGAAATTTTTATAGAGAAGGCTACAAGAGAGAGTGTTTGCAGGGGGCTTGTTCTCCGGGCTTATCAGGGGGCTGTCTTTGCTGGTGGTGCGGCGAGTGGAGGTGATCCCCCTCAAAGACGAGTTATTTTGGATATCCCCGTACAAGTTTTCTGATGTATTTGCTTGCACCTTCTTCCCCTGCTGTTTGGTGAACCCAGCCCCCCTTTCCCCCCCCCACCGGTCTCCCAAGGATGGATCATTCCCAGTGCCTTGTGACTATATACGCCTTGGTGGTTCTGCTGGGTCTCCGGCTAGAGCAGGGCGCCTGCCAGCACTATCTGCACATCCGACCGGCTCCCAGCGACAACTTGCCCTTGGTGGATCTAATCGAGCACCCGGACCCTATCTTTGACCCCAAGGAGAAGGATCTTAATGAGACCTTGCTAAGGAACCTCATGGGCGGTCACTTCGACCCTAACTTTATGGCTGTTTCCTTGCCCGAGGACCGGCTCGGAGTGGACGATCTAGCTGAGCTGGACTTGCTGCTCAGGCAGAGACCCTCGGGAGCGATGCCCAGCGAAATCAAAGGGCTGGAGTTCTACGACGGGCTGCAGCCGGGCAAGAAGCACAGGCTGAGCAAGAAGCTGCGCAGGAAGCTGCAGATGTGGCTTTGGTCCCAGACCTTCTGCCCGGTCCTATACACGTGGAACGATCTCGGCAGCCGCTTTTGGCCCCGGTATGTCAAAGTGGGCAGCTGCTACAGTAAAAGGTCTTGTTCAGTCCCCGAAGGCATGGTTTGCAAACCTGCCAAGTCCGTGCATTTAACGATCCTGAGGTGGAGGTGCCAGCGCCGGGGAGGGCAGAGGTGCACATGGATACCCATCCAGTACCCCATCATTTCGGAGTGCAAGTGCTCCTGCTAGGGCTGGCACTTACCTTCTCGCCCCTTCTCCAGCGGACTCACGTGGACCTTTGCTGCAACAGAAATAAAAGACATTTGCTTTCTGGTTAACGTTGTAATGCACTGTAACGTGTAGGAGAATGTATATTGTGTGTATATATGGCACCGGTTTAATATACTATTAAAAGGTCAGTATTATACGTGAAATAATCAGCGTCTACTGTATTTTTAAGACTATTACCCTGATCGTTGCTAATGTATCTTTTTTTTTTTTTTGGTATTTATATTCCAGAGAGAAGTTGCTTCGCTTTGGCGAAGTAGTTTTTTGTTGGGTGTGTTTTTTTTTTAATAAAAGGATTAAAAAATACAAACCAAACTTTTTGATAAGAAAACGGTTAAAGCTATTTTCCATTATTCGGAAAGCGTGTGTGTGAGTTTTTGGGGGTTTTTTCTTTTTCCTTACGGACTTTAGATTTAAAATAAAAGTGAATAAACGCCTAGAGCACAATGTTATTGTAAATAGAGAGAACAGTTTGAATGACTTAATCCTATGTAAATGAAGAGTATCTGCTATTTATTCTTTATATCCTTGTAGTAAAAGTGCAGTGCAGAATTAAAGTCAACCACTAAAACACGAGCCGTTTGGATTCTGTTTGCTTTTTGGTTTGGCCGCCGTCGGGGGGGCTTTCTTCTCTCTCCTCCTCGTTCTCCACGCTCAGCAGGACGTTTCGTGGTGGCAGGGGGAGGTGGGAACCTGCTCACGACTCTGTTAGGAGGGACTGTGCGGCACCTACCCGGCCGGGGTGCCGGGGGGTCCGGCCCCGGGGGGTCCCGGCGCTGCGCTGTTCCCCGCGGAGCCGCTCCCGCGGCCGCGCAGCCCCGGCGCGCTCGGCGGCAGCTGCTCGGGGACTTCTTTTTTTTTTTCCTCTCTCTCCTCTTTTTTTTTTTTTTTTTTTTTTTTAACTGCTGACATTTCATTTACAACGGGACACGTGTCTTTCACACCTACCATTGTGGTGGGACACTGCTGAAACTTGACCCCTGGGCTTTGGGGGTTTTCAGCGCAGACACGTTATTAGGCTGATCCTGTGACAGCCCCGCACACCGCCCGGCCCGGCCCGCTTTTAACTCTTTGGGCTCCCGCCAGCGCCGGGCCATCGCTCCCTGCGGGCTGCCCCCCTTCCCCGGGGAGCGCCGGGCTGTGCCGGCCGCGGGGTGCGGGTGCCCCGCTCCCGTCCCGCTCACCGGCCGCGCCCCGCCCGCCCCCGCAGCGCTGGGACCGGCCCGGCCCGCGGGGCTCCGCGGGGACCCGGCCCAGTTCCCCCAGTGTTTGACTTCTACGTGCCCGGAGACCCGACGGTTCGTATCTCATAGATACCAACTGCGAAAACAAACTCTCCACGTGCTCTTCAAAGGCTCCCTGACAGTGCAGAAAGCCTTTTCCTTATTTATCTTGGAATCAAAAAACTTTTTTTTTTTTTCCTTCCCCAAAACTCGGAGGGAATCAATGCTAATCATTTTAAACCCGTGGGTCTTTCATTGAGGCAACCCAGCCCTGCTTTTCTGTGACGCTTAGTCCGGTATCTCCGAATGCATATTCATTCCCTCTCTCCCTCTTTCGGTGCGTTTTACCGCCCGTCTCTTTGCTTCTAATTTCAATAGTTTGAGGGGAGGGGGGGAAAAATCAGATCTTGGGACATTTAGGGTATTCATTAACCTAGTGAAGAGGAACAGAGGCATTATTACTCACATAGAAGGCACCCTGCCCCCATGTCTATCTAAGGGTTCATTGTAAAAGGATTAAAAGTTAAAGACCTTCATCTTATGATTCTTTCATTTAATCTTCGTGGCGCCTGAAAGACATGCTGGATGGATGATCACATTTAAAATATTCCTAATGTCGGCTACCTTAGGACTCCAGGCAGGGCAAACAAACGTAATTTATTTCCAGAAGAAAGGGTATATTGAGATGTTTAAGTTTATGAACCACCATTACCATGTATATTTGTTAGGTTCTGACAAATACCCAAATAACATTAAAATCAGCCATTCATCACATATGAATTTATGCAAAACCTTGTATGCCTGGGGCCAATATTTTTTTAGACAGAGTTTCACTTGCAAAAAAAAAAAGTTTATTTAAAAAAAAAAAGCAAGAGTTTTTCATGACTGGTAAACACGAGAATTATGTGAACAGAAACTATTTCATGCTGGGATGGCAGCCAGGGACTCGGGAATGTCAACAAAAGTTCTCCGAAGGTTGAAAATGTCACTGGATTACAATACAAGGTCCTTTGCCCCATTAGCAAACTTTACTAAAGTAATATTGCCACTACTTAGTGAGGGGGCTCACCCAGTGATTTATCTGTCGGTGATCCCAGCAATGGGGCAAACAGAGACTTCATCTGGAAACCACCTCTGACTGCTGCTTCAAGATTTAAAATGTTCCTGTGTGCAGAGCTGGGTGTGTGTTGGTGAGTGTTGGGTGAGTGCAAAAGAAGTGTGCTGGTAATGTAGTCTAAGTATCTATCACCGGATCTGCCTTAGTTTTCATCCAAGACTCATTGTAATCAGAGAGTCGTGTGTACACGTGTGCTTTCTCAACCAATAACACCCCGTTAATAATAAATTTACAAGAATATTTTGGGTTTTAAAAAAAGTCAAGTTTCACCATCCACAAGGCCCATGATTTTTTCATTTAAATAAATAGCTAAATTTTGTCAGCTGGTGGAGCAAAAATAAACTAGTAGTTTTCACTGTTGTTTCTGGTCAGGTCCACTTTCTGGTCCTCTTGCCCTGGTGTTGAAATATTTGGCTTGTAGTGGAAGTGTTTCAAGCCAAACAAATAAAATATCTTTCTGATGAATGTTTCTATGCAAATCTGTTTAATATTGGATTTTGTAATATGTTTTTAAAGCAAAATTGAATTATAGCTCTTTTAAATAGAAATCAATTCATAACACAGACAATTTCTGTTTGCTGATCTTTGTAGTGGCATCGTGAGACCTCACAGAGATCACTGTGGGGAAGAAATAAGAAGGGAAAGGTTGAAAGTTTGCTTTTAGTTAATCTTCAGTTTCTTCTTTTGCTATTTTAGGGTCTTAAAGCGTAATACTGGGAATTTAAATTAATTTCTGCTTCAACCATAGACTGTGCAACCTCACTTGGGTATTTAACCTATGTGCTGTAGTTCCTGATGAGGAGTGCAGGATGTCATCATCTTCATCACTGTAGTTAGTCTTTATCCAGAATAATTCGTTCTCTCACACCATGTGTTTATTCAAAATCCACTAAAGTTAAGGCCCAAGAGTAACACAGTTGATAAATGCATAAAAGAGTAGACTAGAGGAAGTTGGCCATTCAAAATTAGTGCAGGTAGTGTGCTGAAAATGAACCATCTAGAAAATATTAGACACACCATTAGAGCGCTGTGTCCTCACATATGTACTTAACTGAAAAAATATACCTGATTCATTTTATCATTTTCAAAATACTGCCACAAAGATGAATTCTTGAGATTGCATGAGTGCACGATGGAGTCATCACCAAAACAACCACAGCCAGAAATTACAGCAGTAATATTTGTATAAATACCGGACAAGTTTTTGCTCTCTCATAGTTTTAACGGAGAAGTAATCTTAATTTAGTAACATCAACACTTCACCTTGCTTGGGCTGTGTTGTGTAAATGTAATCTGCACACCACGTTGGCTGGATCTTGGACCCATTAAAAAGAAGATATTCCAGCTCGGAGATTTGCCAGGAATCTTCAATGAAAGTTGAAATAAATATAATGACGTCATCATATATTATAACATCACAGCCTTCAAGGTAAGCCAAACCAAAGGTATGTTGGCAGGGGAGTGCTGCCACCTGGTAGATCCATGCTAGGAATAGATATGATACTCCCATCCAGAGGGGAGGAGAACAGCCACGCTCTTCCTGGAGTGCCCACACGGCTCGGGCAGTCTCTCTGTGCCTGCAGGTCCTGCGGGAGCCTCGCTGCACCAGAGAGCTGCAGAACCTGTGTCAATGCTCTCTTTTAAGAGAGCAGCTACAGCAAATTTGAAGAGACCCTTTCATTCCCTCTTCCCTGCTCCCAGACCAAGCGAGAAGCTCCAATGGTTAAAAGGAAGGGAATGAATACATTGGCTTGAAACAACTGTTGGAATGGTTCAGAGGGGAGCAGAAATATTCAGCAATCAACATTAAAGACTCTAAATCCTCGGAGGTGTTATTGCAGGATCAGCAGCTTACAGCCCTCTTCGTGAAGGCTGGGTACCAGTGTATTACTGTTAAGTCCCCTGCAGCTTGTTCCCTGTGGGGAAAGCAGCTGCTCTGTGTGATGTGCTTTTGAAGAGTCTGGGAGAAAAGCTGCTGGAAGAGAAATCTGCACGGGTATAACATCACAGAGTCACTTCTCCCTGCTGGACTGGAGGACAGGAGTGCAGAGATGGCACAGTTCAGCCTCTGACTCTGTCGGGGGATAGCTCAGATGGGGACCAGCTGAGAACAGATGCTCTGAGGCTCCCTGGTTGTACGTTCTGCCCTCTCCAGGGGTGTATTTATGCTGCCATCGAGCATCATTCTGTGTCAGCACTCAAGGCCAGACCAACCTGCATGTGCACTCAGGCCTGGTCAGCCTGTGGATGTCCTGGAATGCTTTGGAGCCATCCCTGTGAGGAGCTCTGGCAGTGGGTGGGTGCTGCTGTCCAAGAGCTGCTGCCCAAGTGAAGGCAGCAGCACACACATCCCAGCACTGACCAGCCTGGAGCCTTCCCTTCACCTAAGGCAGACATTCCCCAGGACTCAGGTCTCTCCCTTGGAGAATCCCAGAGTAGTCACTGCATCAGATAATCATAACACAGTTTGAAAATAAGTTTCACACTCCCTCCTCGTTGTTTTTTTTCCCTCATGAGAGGGGGAGTGGCAAGACTGCCATCACAAAGAACGTTACTCAGAACCAGAACAGATCTTAAGGCACAACACTAAAAACCTGTATGCAATGGAGAAGGACTGGGTGGCTCGAGGGATTGGTAATGGTATAAAGAGCTTTTCACCACTAGGCTTCTGGCTCTGATCCAGAGGTAGTAACTGAAAGCCACAGTCATCTGATGCCTGCAGAGTGGGCTCTGTAGAATGAGTTGTTGGTCTCTGCATAGATCCTACCAAGCAGGATCCAGATCACAAAGCCACCACCAGAACTGACATGCTTGCAAGGATTCTCAATCCAAAGTGCAGAACGAA